GAGTTTGGTGATATGAGTGTTCATCCTTCTGAAGATGCACGATTGTCACCAATCGAGAACGTAATTTTTGATATAGAAACTATGGAGGATTTAGACGCTAGGTAATACATTGAAATAACTTATTGGAATACGAGCATCATAAATAATACTTTTAGTATTTTTGTCTGGTGTTTCAAGATTTATAGTTTATACTAATTAAATCCTCTATATTTGTGTATATTAAGTGCTGCACAAATTCTCCTAGAAATCGTGGAAGCTTACCATAGCCGTAATGTTCATGTCTTTTTTGTAAAACTACGTGAAAACCAAAAGAGACTGTTTGTTCTATCAGGATTGTGGAGTCTAGTAGGAGAGGACCATTTCTTTGGGTAATTTTTATTTCTTTAGTTTAAATCTAGGCTTATTCATCTACACATTAACTAATTTCATATTATTTGCTGCTTTAAAAAAGACGGATTCATGATGCATTAGATTATATTAATAGGAAAGGGTTAGGAATTGGAATCGAATAATTATTCGAATAATTTATATGTAATATGTAATTTGTTACTGATTATTATTGTACGCAGGGGTTCTGAACAATAGCACTGGATTATTGCTATTGTGAGATATCGGAAATGTGAAAATTTGGGACGACTATTTCTTGCAAGCATGACAAATTTAATAATAATTCTGTTCCAATCACTCACTAGGGTGAACCAAGTATAAATGTCTAATTTATTAGCTGAATAGTTAAATTCAAAAAAAAATTAAAATTATTCAAATTATTCATTTCTATTTGGTTTTCTTATTATATAATTCTTTATAACGTGTGTAATTTTTATTCAACCATTTTTACATCAGTAATATTGTCAATACGTGCATAATTTATCATTTTATTTAAAATTTTGGATTTATTACCAATAAGATTCTTATCAAAATAGCTTTATATCTGGTATAATAAAGTTGTCTTTTATCGAATAAATTTTATATAGCTAAGCCTTAATTTACATTTATAACAAGTATATGATGAAATTAATTTTCTAACAAATTTTATATAAATTTGAACAGGGACTTATAACAGGAGGAAACGTCCAAATATAGATATGATTTTCATTCTCCGTTACACAGATCACTCATTGTATTGACCAG